TGAGAACCAAAGGTTACCATGGCAAGGAACTGCCGGTTCCCAGACCTTGAAACTTACGGTTCCCAACCTGGGAACCAGAGGTTACTATTGCAAGGAATTGCCGGTTCCCAGAAGTTAGAATTTAATAGAATTTATGTTTTCGAAGCTAAGCGGCTATCATTGTAAGGAACTGCGGGTTCCCAAAGCTTGAAACTCATGGTTCCAAGCCTGAAAAAGTAACGTTACCAGTGGAAGGATCTGTTGATTGCAAAAAGTTAGACCTCATGGTTCTTAATGTTGTTTTGCTTTGTTTACTGAGCCGGTAACAGAACCTTTTGTTTTGCTTAATGGACCGGTAGCGGAATGTTTGGGTTTGGCTGCTGGGCCGGCATAAAAATGTTTTTGCACGAAAAAGGTGCATGTTAAAATGATATGAAAACAGTTTCTTTACAATTTTATGGTTTTGCTTAATGGACCGGTAAAGAACGCTTTGTTTTGCTTAATGGACCGGTACCAGAATGTTTGCGTTTGGTTCATGGCAAGGAACTGCCGGTTCCCAAAGGTTGGAACTCACGGTTGCCAACGTGGGAACCACAGGTTACAATTGCAAGGAACTGCCGGTTCCCAGAGGTTGGAACGCATGGTTCCCAACCTGGGAACCAGAGGTTACCATTGCAAGCCACTGCCGGTTCCCACCTGGGAACCACAGGTTACCATTGCAAAGAACTTCCAGTTCCTAAAGCTTGGAACTGATGGTTCCCAACGTGGGAACCAAAGGTTACCATGGCAAGGAACTGCCGGTTCCCAGACCTTGAAACTTACGGTTCCCAACCTGGGAACCAGAGGTTGCCATTACAAGGAATTGCCGGTTCCCAGAAGTGAGAATTTATGTTTTCGAAGCTAAGCAACTATTATTGTAAGGAACTGTGGGTTCCCAAAGCTTGAAACTCATGGTTCCAAGCCTGAAAAAGTAACGTTACCAGTGGAAGGATCTGTTGATTGCAAAAAGTTAAAACTCATGGTTCTTAATGTTGTTTTGTTTTGTTTACTGAGCCGGTAACAGAACCTTTTGTTTTGCTTAATGGACCGGTAGCGGAATGTTTGCGTTTGGCTGCTGGGCCGGCATAAAAATGTTTTTGCACGAAAAAGGTGCATGTCAAAATGATATGAAAACAGTTTCTTTACAATTTTATGGTTTTGCTTAATGACTTAATGGGCCGGTACAGAACGCTTTGTTTTGCTTAATGGACCGGTACCGGAATGTTTGCGTTTGGTTCATGGCAAGGAACTGCCGGTTCCCAAAGGTTGGAACTCACGGTTGCCAACGTGGGAACCACAGGTTACCATTGCAAGGAACTGCCGGTTCTCACAGGTTAGAAGTCATGGTTCCCCAACCTGGGGACCAGAGGTTACCATTGCAAGCAACTGCCGGTTCCCAGAGGTTGGAACTCATGCTTCCCAACCAGGGAACCATAGGTTTGCATTGCAAAGAATTTCCAATTCCTAAAGGTTGGAACTGATGGTTCCCAACGTGGGAACCAAAGGTTACCATGGCAAGGAACTGCCGGTTCCCAAAGGTTGGAACTCACGGTTGCCAACGTGGGAAGCACAGGTTACCATTGCAAGGAACTGCCGGTTCCCAAAGGTTGGAACTCCTGGTTCCCCAACCTGGGAACCAGAGGTTACCATTGCAAGCAACTGCCGGTTACCAGAGGTTGGAACTCATGCTTCCCAACCTGGGAACCATAGGTTACCATTGCAAAGAACTTCCGGTTCCTAAAGGTTGGAACTGACGGTTCCCAACGTGGGAACCAAAGCACAGCACGCTGCACAGCACCCTGCACAGCACCCTGCACAGCACCCTGCACAGCACCTTTCACAGCACCCTTCACAGCACCCTGCACAGCACCTTTGCGAGACTTCGCCACCGCAGTCTGGATAGCAGCGTGCACAGCACCCTGCACAGCACCTTTGCCAGACTTCGCCACCGCAGTCTGGACAGCACCCTGCACAGCACCCTGCACAGCACCCTACACAGCACCCTGCAGAGCACCCTGCACAGCACCTTCGCCAGACTTCGCCACTGCAGTCTGGACAGCACCCTGCACAGCACCCTGCACAGCACCTTGCACAGCACCCTGCACAGCACCCTGCACAATACTCTGCACAGCACCCTGCACAGCACCCTGCACAGCACCTTTGCCAGACTTCGCCACTGCAGTCTGAACAGCACTGTGCACAGCACCCTGCACAGCACCTTTGCCAGACTTCGCCACAGCAGTCTGGACAGGACCCTGCACAGCACCCTGCACAGCACCGTTTGCCAGACTTGCCACCGCAGTCTGGGACCAACTCCCTGCAAAAACACCCTGCCACAGCACCTTTCCCAGACCCTTTGCCACCGCAGTCTGGGACAGCACCCCTGGGACAGACCCTGGACAGCAACCGCAAGCACCCTGCACAGCACCCTGCCACAGCAACCTCCTTGCCAGACTTCGCCACACGCAGTCTGGACCAGCACCTGCACAGCACCCTGCCCACAGCACCTTTGCCAGAATTAGCACCGCAGTCTGGCACCTTTGCTAGACTTCGCCACCACCGCAGTCTGGACAGCACCCTGCACAGCACCCTGCACAGCCGCACAGCACCCTGCACAGCCGCACAGCACCTTTGCCAGACTTCGCCACCGCAGTCCGGACAGCAACCTGCAGAGCACCCTGCACAGCACCTTTGCCAGAGTTCGTGCGCACTCTGGAAAACACCCTGCACAGCACCCTGCACAGCACCTTTGCCAGACTTCGCCACCGCAGTCTGGACAACTGCACAGCACCTTTGCCAGACTTCGCCACCGCAGTCTGGACAGCACCCTGCACACCCTGCATAGCACCCTGCACAGCACCCTGCACAGCACCTTTGCCAGACTTCGCCACCGCAGTCTGGACAGCACCCTGCACAGCACCCTGGCTCAAAAGTTCGCCACCGAAGACCCCACCTTTGAGAACTAAGAACCCCTATAGCTTGCCAGCTATCTGGGGAATAACAACATAAGCTGATCATGGTCAACATCAATCATAACCAACTGAACCAGGGTCAAAAAACCCTAGTTGCTTGAATATATTCCAAGTGTAGTGAGTTATACTACCTACGGTAGGGCCTTATTGTAGCCCACTATACACCGACCTTAACGAACCACTAGTTCAGGGGTGGAACCAGGGTCAACCCGGAAGGCCGAAAGACCTGGCGAGTGGCGATTTGCTGGAGCTTCAGGGTGCGGAAGATCATGGAAGATCGGTTCTCTTAAGTCTAAAAGTGATCATGGTGCAACCATCACAATCGGTCAACTGAGACGAGTTTTTTGAAAAATCTAGGCTTTATCATAGACCTTGTCTACGAATCAATCATTGTAATCAATGAATGTCTGGGAATATCACTACGAGCAGTCCGCCACAACATAACACCAGCCTGGCTTTTAACATGCCTACTTCGATGAAGCCAGTAAGTCTCGGGACAAAGCAAATTCATACCTTGGAAGATTCACATGGTGACCAATTCACCCATAAACCATAAACAGCCATCAATGATCATGAAAAATTGAATCGCTTCCCATTCGCAAGCATCACTCAGTCGTAAAGGGGGGTGATGATCCCCAAGTTTTTCATGTTGTCATTGGTTCAAAACAGCCTAGGCATCAATGTGTTGGCCTCGCGCATGAGTTTGACATTTGTCGCCGGAGTTCTGGTGTTCACTGTGGGTGTCGTCTCATGGGTCGTCACGTTTGAGGATCGCCTGCAAGTTCAGATCGGAAAGAGGTGCTCCTGAGCATGGAAACATACGAAAAATGGATGGAACATAGGACAGAATAGCGGCACCAGTCCATAAACTATTAAAGTCATGATTTTGAGGTATCCATGATTATCCCTGCTTTGGGACAACCATAGCCAACCGGGGCTTCTGGCAGTGCAGCTCTTGATACCACAAAGGTGTTTGATAATCTTGATAATTGGCCTGGATTTACTTCGCAGAGGGCAACTTTTCAGGGAGCTTTTGGCAGTTTGTTTCATGTTTGACTTGCGGTTTTCTGCTCAGCCACAATGGGACTGCCCAGGCCACTTGGTAAGACAAGAGTCAAAGCCCGGCCTTCTTTGGTCAAGTCTCAAGGCGGCAGTTGGCAGTTGCTTCAATTCTTGTTGACCTTGGCTTTGTGGTGCCTGTTGTTTGGCGAGGCTGAACACACTTCGCTTTGTAGCAGCCATTCTGTGTTTCATCTGATTCAAGTTGAGAGGCTTCTGATCTTTGGGGATTGGAATTGAGAAAAGTGACATAGAGATCCAAGCAATCGATGCGACCAGCTGAATTTGCACTTCAGTTGCTGGAATCAGAACAGTTCACTGAGTTTAGCAGGAGGGGTGTTATTTTTTCTCTGTTTTGGTTGGCTAAGAAAGCCCAGGTCGTTGGCGCAAGCACAAGTCACTGACTTTGAGGATCCCACAATGTAAAAACGTGTCCAGGTTGAAGACTCATAGGTCTGCAGATTCCCATGGGGCTCCTCAAATCATGGATTTGATACAAAAAACAATCCATTTGAGTGTTTCTTTGGATCATTTTGGATCCACATATATATCGGAAGTGACGTTCTGAAGGGTTTGTCGATGTAGGTGTTGGAGATGAGACCAGGCGCGCACATGTTTTGCAGCTAACTGCAATGTGGTTGGACAAAGATATGGACATCAACTGGGTGGTGCTTTCAGATGTTTCAGCATGTTTCAGGCACATTTCACTTGGATTTTCTCACCCAATTGACCAGCACGTTCTTGGGAAGGGCGATGAAACCACCAACCAGTCAGCATGGACTTTGTGCATGTTTGCGATGTCTTGAAATCTGGTGTGCTGTTCAGCAATGTGCAACCGGACAGCAAATCTCTGTATAGCTTGCCACCGCTTGGCTCAAGCGACCTAACTTTCCTGATTTGAACTTTGAGCTACAAGTACCTCCATCGCTACTCGTATACAGGGCCATCAAGATGAAGCTGTGTGTCCATGTGTTGCTTTTGGCCCTGGGGGTCATCAGTGGACACAAATGCGATGAAACCAATGGCTCCAATGAATGCGACATCAGTGACATCAGTTCTCATTTGCACCTGGCCACCAAGACCACCAAGGTCGCCAAGGTCTCAGGCTCCACCACATACTTCATCAGTGAATTTCGGCCCAATCCGCCCAATCCGTCCAATGATCCGCTTGAGCAGCGCATCGAGCTCAGTGGTGGACTCACAGATGAATTCTTCAATGGATGCATTTGGAGCGTCGAGGCCGCTAATATAGCATCAAAGGGAAGGGTTGATCGAGCGACCAATGTTTCTGGCACTTTTGATCCCAATGGCCTGCTGGTCGTTTTCATACCTCACCTTGAGAATCCATCTTTCACCATTGTCTTGTCGAGTTCATCCTGTCCCAGCGTGGGTGACAATGTCTTTGACACTGGCTTCAATGTCCCTGGGGTAATCTATGACTCAATTGGTGTGCCAGATGTTGCAGGTGATGAAGTCAATCTAGCAGACATCAGAGAGGCATTGGGTCATCCCCCCGGTACCGACTTCAAATTCACTGGTACGTTCGCTGGTGACGAGCTAAAACTGGTATTCCGTGATGCTAGTCTAGGAGACCTATATGCAGTCAGCACCAGTGACGTGATCAAGAACGCTCATGGCGTGGAGATTGATTTTGGCGAGTTTACTGGGGGGGACACACTGGAGCCAACTTTTGGTAACATCAATCCAACACTACTAGGCACAGGGGTGAGTGGTGATCCGCATATCCATACCTTGGATGGCAGCCACTACACGTTGCTGCGAGAAGGTTCCTTCTTGCTGTGGCGCTTTGGTTTGCCGCAGCCCCATGTGGAGTGGCAAATCTTTGCCCACTATGCCGGACGCCAGTCCTTTACCAAAGGCCTTTTGTTGGTCGATACTTCGGGTTCAGAGCCATCCAGCATGGAGATCACTTCGGAACGCTGCGAATGGCAAACCCAGAGCAACTCCAAGAAGTGGTCATCAGTCAACTCAACAGTTCCTGAAGTGCTCCTTTCCGGCCCGTCTTCTCATATGAAGCTGGTTGGCAACCAGCGCAAGGACATGAAGAAGATTCAGCTGTTCATTGCTGATGAGACAGTTCCGGTTGCCACATTGAAAGTCATATGTCGACAAGGTCGTCACATCAACATGAAACTCCACATGGGGAACCAGAAGTGGAAACCCTTTGTAAGTGGAGAGCTCAAGGGCCAAAAAGATCAAACAGTCCAAAAGGACATGCCGACCTCTAAGAGTTCAATGTTGGAGCTGGCTGGAAGAGAAGACCAAGAATTTGAGGTCACGAAAACTTGGGCGGAGCTTGGTGGCAGCTCTCACGCCCAGCAATACCTTCGAAATTTTGATGCGCATCAGAATTTGGCTTTCATTCAGCAGTGTGACCCCCAAGCACAGGCTGATGCCAGGGCTCTCTGCCAGAAACACTTGGGAACAGTCGCGCATTCCAGCTACTTCGAGGAGTGTGTCTACGATGTCTGCTCAGGTGCAGGAGAAGTTGCGGCAGAGATGGCGGCAGAGATGCTGAAATTCTGAGCGGCCTCGGCCAACAATGGGCCAGTAATACTGTATACTGTAAGGCAAAGGTTGTAGCTAGGCTTAGTTTCAAACTTTCGGCACATTTGAACGCAGAACTCCCTTTGCCGCAAGCAAAAAGTGCGTGGTCTGTGCGCAAATTTGCGAGCATGGCAGATGGATACGCGCAACACTCGACACGTATGGGGATGATGTGAGTATGTCTCAAAGCAGGGGTACTCCCAGGCCAATGGTTTTCTTGCTAACCATTTTCTTGATATGTTTGGACTCGTTCCTCTTTGATCGTACTTGGAGACATGCCTATGTATACGAGCCTTCGAAAATCAGAGTCTGTCAAGGCAGAGAGTTTCAGGCTCAAAATATTGTGCAAATCTATGAGCTGAGTTTCTCACTTATCCTTAATGAGGATGATTAACTCAGTTGACTCATTGGCAGCTTTATCGAATTTTATATAATGAGCTTTACGAGTTCCAGTATTGAAGACGAAAATTACTTTACTTCGTGTGATCCCCACCATGACATTTATACATTTTCTTACTGGCAAATCTTCTGGCATTCTATCTGACATATCTTCTGACATTCTATTTGGCATTCTATCTGGCATATCTTCTGGCATATGATCTGGCATATCTTCTGGCATATCTTCTGGCATTCTATCTGACAAATCTTCTGGCATTCTATCTGGCATATCTTCTGGCACTCTATTTGACATATCTTCTGGCATTCAATCTGGCATTCTATCTGGCATATCTTCTGGCATATATTCTGACATATCTTCTGGCATTCTATCTGACATATCTTCTGGCATATATTCTGACATATCTTCTGGCATTCTATCTGACATATCTTCTGGCATATATTCTGACATATCTTCTGGCATATCTTCTGGCATATCTTCTGACATATCTATCTGGCATATCTTCTGGCATATTTTCTGGCATTCTATCTGGCAATTCTTCTGGCATTCTATCTGGCATTCTATCTGGCATATCTTCTGGCATATTATCTGGCATTCTATCTGGCATATCTTCTGGCATATATTCTGACATATCTTCTGGCATTCTATCTGGCATTTTATCTGGCATTCTATTTGGCATTCTATCTGGCATATCTTCTGGCATATCTTCTGACATTCTTTCTGACATTCTTTCTAACTTTCTTCTGCACATTCTTTGTCCCATATCTTCCTACATGAGGTCCGGCAGGGAACACTTGGCATGGATACCCGCGGTTGAGGTCCGGCAGGGAACACTGGCACGGATGGTCGTGGTTGAGGTCCGGCAGGGAACACTGGGCGTGGATGGTCGTGGTTGAGGTCCGGCAGGGAATACTGGGCGAGGATGGTCGTGGTTGAGGTCCGGCAGGGAACATTGGGCGTAGATGGTCGTGGTTGAGGTCCGGCAGGGAACACTGGGCGTGGATGGTCGTGGTTGAGGTCCGGCAGGGAACACTGGGCGTGGATGGTCGTGGTTGAGGTCCGACAGAGAACACTGTGGATCGCGGGTCGCAGTTGGACGAGGAGGACGACGAGGAGGACGACGAGGAGGACGAGGAGGAGAGGAGGAGGACGAGGCAGGAGTCAGGAGGAGGCAGGAGGAGGCAACTGACATAAAATCTAACAACCCTCACCTGGCAGGTGGGGAAAAACACATCAATTTGGCAGCGGGCCCTGGCTTTCCCAAGGTGATTTCGCTTCTAGTTTGACTATGTTTGACTGCTGATGGTTGTAAAGTACCATTTTGTTGTATAGTTGACATCACGCAGACCGCCACAGGTTCAGCGACCATGTCAGTGAATTTGGACAACTGCAGATGAACTTCTAGCGAGTGTGGTCCGTCATGGTCCGTCAATCAAGTTGATAGCTCTAGAACTCTCTTTGGTAGGGACAAACGGCTCAGCGAACGGATAAGCATCATGAGATATCATGAGATATCATGGGTATCAGGGCAATTGCCAGCCTTTCGGTGCTTCAGATCTGGCGGTTCGGAGCCCTGGGCCACCTCTAGCAGGAAACCATCAACACCATATCGATTGAACTTCTTACGCCATGATAACTGACAACTTATAATAACAACATAAGCTGATCATGGTCAACATCAATCATAACCAACTGAACCAGGGTCAAAAAACCCTAGTTGCTCAAATTCCAAGTGTAGTGAGTTATACTACCTACCGTAGGGCCTTATTGTAGCCCACTATACACCGACCTTAACGAACCACTAGTTCAGGGGTGGAACCACGGTCAACCCGGAAGGCTGAAGGACCTGGCGAGTGGCGATTTGCTGGAGCTTCAGGGTGCGGGAGATCATGGAAAATCGGTTCTCTTAAGCCTAAAAGTGATCATGGTGCAACCATCACAATCGGTCAACTGAGACGAGTTTTTTGAAAAATCTAGGCTTTATCATAGACCTTGTCTACGAATCAATCATTGTAATCAATGAATGTCTGGGAATATCACTACGAGCAGTCCGCCACAACATAACACCAGCCTGGCTTTTAACATGCCTACTTCGATGAAGCCAGTAAGTCTCGGGACAAAGCAAATTCATACCTTGGAAGATTCACATGGTGACCAATTCACCCATAAACCATAAACAGCCATCAATGATCATGAAAAATTGAATCGCTTCCCATTCGCAAGCATCACTCAGTCGTAAAGGGGGGTGATGATCCCCAAGTTTTTCATGTTGTCATTGGTTCAAAACAGCCTAGGCATCAATGAGTTGGCCTCGCGCATGAGTTTGACATTTGTCGCCGGAGTTCTGGTGTTCACTGTGGGTGTCATCTCATGGGTCGTCACGTTTGAGGATCGCCTGCAAGTTCAGATCGGAAAGAGGTGCTCCTGAGCATGGAAGCATACGAAAAATGGATGGAACATAGGACAGAATAGCGGCACCATTCCATAAACTATTAAAGTCATTATTTTTAGGTATCCATGATTATCCCTGCTTTGAGACAACCATAGCCAACCCCATATATCATGTCCGCATTCATGCATTTCAGTATGATTTGCTGCCTGACGACAAATGAACCGTTGCACGCTCTGGAAGTGGCTTCTGGCAGTGCAGCTCTTGATACCACAAAGGTGTTTGATAATTTTGATAATTGGCCTGGATTTATTGCACTGAGGGCAACTTTTCAGGGAGCTTTTGGCAGTTTGTTTCATGTTTGACTTGCGGTTTTCTGCTCAGCCACAATGGGACTGCCCAGACCACTTGGTAAGACAAGAGTCAAAGCCCGGCCTTCTTTGGTCAAGTCTCAAGGCGGCAGTTGGCAGTTGCTTCAATTCTTGTTGACCTTGGCTTTGTGGTGCCTGTTGTTTGGCGAGGCTGAACACACTTCGCTTTGTAGCAGCCATTCTGTGTTTCATCTACTGTATTTCAAGTCGAGAAGCTTCTAATCTTTGGGGATTGGAATTGAGAAAAGTGACATAGTGATCCAAGCAATCGATGCGACCAGCTGAATTTGCACTTCAGTTGCTGGAATCAGAACAGTTCACTGAGTTTAGCAGGAGGGGTGTTGTTTTTTTCCTGTTTTGGTTGGCTAAGAAAGCCCAGGTCGTTGGCGCAAGCACAAGTCACTGACTTTGAGGATCCCAAAATGTAAAAACGTGTCCAGGTTGAAGACTCATAGGTCTGCAGATTCCCTTGGGGCTCCTCAAATCATGGATTTGATACAGAAAACAATCCATTTGAGTGTTTCTTTGGATCATTTTTGATCCATATATCGGAAGTGACGTTCTGAAGGGTTTGTCGATGTAGGTCCTGGTGTTGGAGATGAGACCAGGCGCGCGCATGTTTTGCAGCTAACTGCAATGTGGTTGGACAAAGATATGGACATCAACTGGGTGGTGCTTTCAGATGTTTCAGCATGTTTCAGCCACATTTGGCTTGGATTTTCTATCAATTTCGGGATGATTATCACATCTTATCATCCAATTGACCAGCACTTTCTCGGGAAGAGCGATTAAACCACCAACCAGTCAGCATGGATTTTGTGCATGCTTGCGATGTCTTGAAATCTGGTGTACTTTTCAGCAACGTGCAACCGGACCGCAAATCTCTGTATACCTTGCCACCGCTTGGCTCAAGCGACCTAGCTTTCCTGATTTGAACTTTGAGCTACAAGTACCTCCATCGCTACTTATATACACGGCCATCAAGATGAAGCTGTGTGTCCATGTGTTGCTTTTGGCCCTGGGGGTCATCAGTGGACACAAATGTGATGAAACCAATGACTCCAATGAATGCGACATCAGTGACATCAGTTCTCATTTGCACCTCGCCACCAAGGCCACCAAGGTCGCCAAGGTCACCAAGGTCTCAGCCGCCAGCACATACCTCATCAGTGAATTTGAGCCCAATCCTCCATCCAATGATCCGTCTACGCAGCAAATCGAGCTCAGTGGTCCGGCAGGTGGAACCTTCAATGGATGCATTTGGACTGTCGACGCCGATAATATAACGGCAAAGGGAGAGGTTGATCGAGCGAACAATGTTTCTGGCACTTTTGATCCCAATGGCCCGCTGCTCGTTTCCATTCCTGACCTTGAGAATCCATCTTTCACCATTGTCTTGTCGAGTTCAACCTGTCCCAGCGTGGATGACAATGTCTTTGACACTGGCTTCAATGTCCCTGGGGTAATCTATGACTCAATTGGTGTGCCAGATGTTGCAGGTGACGAAGCCATTCTAGCACAGATCAGAGAGGCATTGGGTCATCCCCCCGGTACCGACTTCAAATTCACTGGTGACGAGCCAAAACTGGTATTCCGTGATGCTAGTGTAGGAAACCTGTACGCAGTCAACGATCCGCCCGGTGGAGTGGTCACAGTGGTCAAGGATGCTAATGGCGGGGACATCGAACCTGTCGAGTTTAGTGGGGGGGACCCACTGGAGACAACTTTTGGTGTCATCAATCCAACACTAGGCTCAGGGGTGATTGGTGATCCGCATATCCATACCTTGGATGGCAGCCACTACACGTTGCTGCGAGAAGGCTCCTTCTTGCTGTGGCGCTTTGGCTTGCCGCAGCCCCATGTGGAGTGGCAAATCTTTGCCCACTATGCCGGACGCCAGTCCTTTACCAAAGGCCTTTTGTTGGTCGATACTTCGGGTTCAGAGCCATCCAGCATGGAGATCACTTCGGAACGCTGCGAATGGCAAACCCAGAGCAACTCCAAGAAGTGGTCATCAGTCAACTCAACAGTTCCTGAAGTGCTCCTTTCCGGCCCGTCTTCTCATATGAAGCTGGTTGGCAACCAGCGCAAGGACATGAAGAAGATTCAGCTGTTCATTGCTGATGAGACAGTTCCGGTTGCCACATTGAAAGTCATATGTCGACAAGGTCGTCACATCAACATGAAACTCTACATGGGGAACCAGAAGTGGAAACCCTTTGTAAGTGGAGAGCTCAAGGGCCAAAAAGATCAAACAGTCCAAAAGGACATGCCGACCTCTAAGAGTTCAATGTTGGAGCTGGCTGGAAGAGAAGACCAAGAATTTGAGGTCACGAAAACTTGGGCGGAGCTTGGTGGCAGCTCTCACGCCCAGCAATATCTTCAAAATTTTGATGCGCATCAGAATTTGGCTTTCATCCAGATGTGTGACCCCCAAGCACAGGCTGATGCCAGGGCTCTCTGCCAGAAACACTTGGGAACAGTCGCGCGTTCCAGCTACTTCGAGGAGTGTGTCTACGATGTCTGCTCAGGTGCAGGAGAAGTTGCGGCAGAGATGGCGGCAGAGATGCTGAAATTCTGAGCGGCCTCGGCCAACAATGGGCCAGTAATACTGTATACTATAAGATCTATAAGGCAAAGGTTGTAGCTAGGCTTAGTTTCAAACTTTCGGCACATTTGAACGCAGAACTCCCTTTGCCGCAAGCAAAAAGTGCGTGGTCTGTGCGCAGAATTGCGAGCATGGCAGATGGATACGCGCAACACTCGACACGTATGGGGATGATGTGAGTATGTCTCAAAGCAGGGGTACTCCCAGGCCAATGGTTTTCTTGCTAACCATGTTCTTGATATGTTTGGACTCGTTCCTCTTTGATCGTACTTGGAGACATGCCTATGTATACGAGCCTTCGAAAATCAGAGTCTGTCAAGGCTGCGCGCAGCACTGCATCGCTCCGTGGTCCAGGAATCGTTGTGCTATGTTGTGCTGTTCTTCAGCTAGTTCTCTTTATGGCTTGACATTGATTTCAAGGAGGGGTTGGCTAGGACTGGGCTGAGTTTCATATTGGACACTGATCGACATATATCAGCAATGGTCAAGCCATTGAGGGTTATGAAATGTTATTAATTAACCATCGATGGGGGATGGTCATCCATTAGTTATGGGTCGGGGGCTATGATAGCCATTGACATAGGTTTGCACAAGGCGGTGGTGGAAGTTTCCTATAAGGATTTGCGCTTATATATGGGTGCAAGTCAATTTATAAGGTCCGGAACAGGGTCCAGGACCACACCCGTTCCATACCCCCGTTCCATACCTGTTTGAAGGATCCGCTCCATACGTCTGTTGCATACCTTTGATTCATACGTCATGATACATATATATCTGGGTAAATTATAACGACCTCACTGCGACCTCACTGAAATCATGGTTAATAAGGGAAATCATCCCCAAATGGCCTTAATTCAGGTTAGTGAAATATTGTAATTTACCCAGATATATAGATATAGACATATATTTTACACGCACACATACGCACACACACACACACGCATTTATATATATATAATAGATAGATAGATATACGTATTTGAACATGTGCAATCTGATTTTTACATTTGTACGCACATACGTACATGAGTGCATACATGCAAGAATACCTTTTCTATGCCCAAGCTCTGTGATTGTGTTGGCAAGTCTGTGCCTGCAGCACTTACAGCTGCTACCTACTTTGTTGTGTTGGTAGGGATGTGCTTGGCTGCTGCCAGTTGGCAGTCTAAGAATGGATTGCTTCTGACCCTCCCTCCTTCTCGCTGCCCGCTGTGGCACAGGCTGTGCTGTTTGATGGTAGAAATGCGCTTGCGTGCTGCCAGCTGGCAGTCTAAGAATTGCTTGCTGCGCTACTCTCGCTCCAAACTGCCAATTTTGATAAAGATCTGCTGCGGTGGCAGTGAGTGCTGTGCTGGAGCGGGCCGTTTCGTTCCAGACCCCGTCCATCGCGTTCCATACCCGTTCCAGGCCCGGACCACCCATGTACCACCCCCTGACCCATTCCCCGGGCACATGGCAGGTTCCCACATAGACTGCTCTTGCGTGTGGGTTATGGAAGCCTAGAGTCTTGCTATGCGGTAGATAAATCTACCCCATGCGGACCTCTCCGTTTTAAGAGTGGGATGTGGGTCCTGCGTGACAGGTCTGAAGCTGGGTGGGTGAAAACTTGTATAAAAAGGGGGTTCTGGGGTAATGTGGTTTAATGTTCAGTTGTTCAGTTCATCTGTGTTGTTTTTGTTCATGTTAGTCATTCAGTTTGTGTGACTGTTTCTTTTTGTTTCTGGGTGTAGGTTTGGTTGTAAGTGTTTGGGGTATTGTTGTGATTAAGTTATGGCTTAGGTCCTAGGTTTATTCAGTTCTTTGTTTCTCATCATAGTTTATATCATAATGTTTGTTTAATTTTAATCATTATTTTAGGTTAAAAAATGTTGCACTTGATTTATCATAATATTTGTCAATATTATTATAAAGCTATCCAGGACAACAGAGATAACAGTCAGTCAGTGCATATTGAGTTTGACATATTTCACTATTTGCTTTTGTCAAAGGAAGTTGGGAAGCAATACTTCCGAGTTACGAATGACTTTTACTTGGTGCAATTGACTATGATGAAGGGTGGTAGATCATGTAACAATACATAATGTACCAATACATCACAAAAGAATAAGAAGCAATGAAATTGACCTTGAGGAAGGGTGGTAGATCATATAACAATACATAATGTACCAATACATAACAAAAGAATAAGAAGCTATGAAATTGACCTTGACGAAGGGTGGTAGATCATATAACAATACATAATATAACAATACATAATCTAATCAAAGGAAGTTGGGAAGCAATACTTCCGAGTTACGGAAGTGGCGACGAAGGGAAGTGGTGATGAAGGGGAGTGGTGAGGAAGGCAGGAAGTGGCGACGATGGGAAGTGGTGAGGAAGGGAAGTGGTGAGGAAGGGAAGTGGTGACGAAGGGAAGTGGTGATGAAGGGGAGTGGTGAGGAAGGGAAGTGGTGACGATGGGAAGTGGTGAGGAAGGGAAGTGGTGGCGATGGGAAGTGGTGAGGAAGGGAAGTGAGAAGCGATGGAATTGCTGACGATGGGAAGTGATGAGGAAGGGAAGTGGTGAGGAAGGGAAGTGGTGACGATGGGAAGTGGTGAGGAAGGGAAGTGGTGACAATGGGAAGTGGTGAGGAATGGCAGATCGCATTGTAATGGCTGCATGAATGTTGCATGGGCCATGTTGTGGGGAGGAAGCCGGAGCACGAAACCTTGTGTTTTTCCGTGTAAAGTGGCTCCAGGCGACGATGAAAGGTACCTCGTCTGTGCGGCGGGTGCGGCTGGGGTCGTTTCGTTCCTTCAATGTGTTTTGCAACACTGGATGTTCCTGTGTACGTAGTTCTATGCGTTTCTTGAGTTTGTGTTTGCAGATCGCATTGGAATGGCTGCATGAATGTTGCATGGGCTTTGTTGTGGGGAGGAAGCCGGAGCACGAAACCTTGTGTTTTTCCGTGTAAAGTGGCTGCAGGCGACGATGAAAGGTACCTCGTTTGTGCGGCGGGTGCGGCTGGGGTCGTTTCGTTCCTTCAATGTGTTTTGCAACACTGGATGTTACTGTGTACGTAGTTCTATGCGTTTCTTGAGTTTGTGTTTGCAGATCGCATTGGAATGGCTGCATGAATGTTGCATGGGCTTTGTTGTGGGGAGGAAGCCGGAGCACGAAACCTTGTGTTTTTCCGTGTAAAGTGGCTGCAGGCGACGATGAAAGGTACCTCGTCTGTGCGGCGGGTGCGGCTGGGGTCGTTTCGTTCCTTCAATGTGTTTTGCAACACTGGATGTTCCTGTGTACGTAGTTCTATGCGTTTCTTGAGTTTGTGTTTGCAGATCGCATTGGAATGGCTGCATGAATGTTGCATGGGCTTTGTTGTGGGGAGGAAGCCGGAGCACGAAACCTTGTGTTTTTCCGTGTAAAGTGGCTGCAGGCGACGATGAAAGGTACCTTGTCTGTGCGGCGGGTGCGGCTGGGGTCGTTTCGTTCCTTCAATGTGTTTTGCAACACTGGATGGTCCTGTGTACGTAGTTCTATGCGTTTCTTGAGTTTGTGTTTGCAGATCGCATTGGAATGGCTGCATGAATGTTGCATGGGCTTTGTTGTGGGGAGGAAGCCGGAGCACGAAACCTTGTGTTTTTCCGTGTAAAGTGGCTGCAGGCGACGATGAAAGGTACCTCGTCTGTGCGGCGGGTGCGGCTGGGGTCGTTTCGTTCCTTCAATGTGTTTTGCAACACTGGATGTTCCTGTGTACGTAGTTCTATGCGTTTCTTGAGTTTGTGTTTGCAGATCGCATTGGAATGGCTGCATGAATGTTGCATGGGCTTTGTTCTGGGGAGGAAGCCGGAGCACGAAACCTTGTGTTTTTCCGTGTAAAGTGGCTGCAGGCGACGATGAAAGGTACCCGAGCCCCCCCCAAGCCCTTCTTCCTTGCGGCGGATGCGGCTGGGGTCGTTTCGTTCCTTCAATGTGTTTTGCAACACTGGATGTTCCTGTGTACGTAGTTCATCGTAGTTCTATGCGTTTCTTGAGTTTGTGTTTGCAGATCGCATTGGAATGGCTGCATGAATGTTGCATGGGCTTTGTTGTGGGGAGGAAGCCGGAGCACGAAACCTTGTGTTTTTCCGTGTAAAGTGGCTGCAGGCGACGATGAAAGGTACCTCGTCTGTGCGGCGGGTGTGGCTGGGGTCGTTTCGTTCCTTCAATGTGTTTTGCAACACTGGATGTTCCTGCGTACGTAGTTCTATGCGTTTCTTGAGTTTGTGTTTGCAGATCGCATTGGAATGGCTGCATGAATGTTGCACGGGCTTTGTTGTGGGGAGGAAGCCGGAGCACGAAACCTTGTGTTTTTCCGTGTAAAGTGGCTGCAGGCGACGATGAAAGGTACCTCGTCTGTGCGGCGGGTGCGGCTGGGGTCGTTTCGTTCCTTCAATGTGTTTTGCAACACTGGATGGTCCTGTGTACGTAGTTCTATGCGTTTCTTGAGTTTGTGTTTGCAGATCGCATTGAAATGGCTGCATGAATGTTGCATGGGTTTGTTGGGGGAGGAAGCCGGAGCACGAAACCTTGTGGTTTTTCCGGGTAAGTGGCTGCAGGCGACGATGAAGGTACACCCTCGTCTTCGGCGGGTGCGGCGGGGTCGTTGCGGTTCCTTCAATGTGGTTTTGTCACAACTGGGATGGTCCTGTGTACGTAGTTCTATTCGTTTCTTGAGTTTGTGTTTGCAGATCGCATTGGAATGGCTGCATGAATGTTGCATGGGCTTTGTTGTGGGGAGGAAGCCGGAGCACGAAACCTTGCGTTTTTCCGTGTAAAGTGGCTGCAGCCGACGATGAAAGGTACCTCGTCTGTGCGGCGGGTGCGGCTGGGGTCGTTTCGTTCCTTCAATGTGTTTTGTAACACTGGATGTTCCTGTGTACGTAGTTCTATGCGTTTCTTGAGTTTGTGTTTGCAGATCGCATTGGAATGGCTGCATGAATGTTGCATG